TGTACTAACGTGATTTTTGGATTTTTCGAATTTACATGTATATTTAATTTAGCCGACGTTCTTACAGTGAAGGCAAGCATTGTGATGCCTGCACATATCGAAGAAATTCAAAGATATGTGTGAAGTCAACTAGTAGTGCAGGTTGACTATGGCCTAGTCACTTTCACTTAGGGTAGGCTCCGAGCCCCTCGGTGGGGACGTATAGTGAGCTGGTGACTTGCTTCACAATTTGATTACCATTAATTTTTACTGTTAATTTGATAATTTAACAATATAAATAAATATTTACTTACTATTAACACTCATCCAGATAGTTTTACTAAGGGGACTGCCGACCCCATTCTCGACATTACAGGAGTACAAGCCTTCGTCTGTGAGAGACACCTCCTCTATGATCAGAGTGCCATTAGGCAGACTGAGGATGCCTCCTCCCGCTAGTTCTAATACTGGCTGCCATGTGCCCAAAAGAGCTGAAATTTGGAACAATTCTTATAATTCTTTCTGATAAACTCAATGTTTAATTGGTTTTGATGAATCTTCTGCGATATTTTTTTTAATTTGATCATTTCTTTTATGATCATTTTTATTATTTCATGAACTCCCCTACCTTATCCTACTCCCGCAGTTGTGTATCGGATTTTCGATACAAACTCTATCATCCGTCATCTCATCGCTCCTTTATCATGTCACCTTTCACGCAATCCATATATGTATCTATACTATTATAATAAAGCGTAAACACACACGTCTTTGTTGCCTAAGATCACAGAAATTCCAGCATATTTTTGACTAATTCTTTTTTTAATAAGCCCTACACCTACGTTACGCTTTAAGCTATATATTTTAAGCCATTAAACTTAGAGAGTAAATATTTTGGATAAAAACCCTAATGTGGGAAAGAGACCATAAGTTGCTGCCAACATCAAGGAAGCAAGATTGCCATAGTAAGGTAATTGGTATTTTGACATTTGCAATTGAAAATTTGACAAATATATATATATATATATATCTCTTTTATCCATTCATTCTTTATTTCAAAAACATTACAGGTTGCCGCCTAACAATTTACATGTATCATAGGTGTCCCACCTTTTACACATTTAAACAAAACACAATTAACAATGAAATTAGAAATAAATGTTATGAAAGCCAGACAACAAGAAGAAAATGTAACAAAAATATTAACTTAAGCAAGTAACTGTTAACAGAAGAGCTACGAAAGTCTTAATTACAAATTTAAAATATTGAACATTGTAATTTTGTGATTTACCATCTTTTTTCATCCAATGCACCTGAGGCTGTGGATATCCGTTAGCACTGCAAGAGACTGTGCCTCTTCTGCCTAAGAGAAGAGAGGAGTTCGATGGCTCCTCCGCCCATTTGGGAGCAACTGAAAATTTAACAACGGGTATAACGTTAAAAAACAATATTAATAGTCTATAAGCTTTAAACTGTATAATTTCGAAGACCTTTTATTATGCGCTATTACAATTGCAAGTTAGTTTAGCTGTCTATCTGAATTATAATTGAAAGGGCGAGAAAACGGGGAGAGTTTTAGAGTTCTTTAAATGTTTGGATTGATAGATGCTTTTTAAGAGTTTGTGGCTTAAACCGCTGAACGGATTTCGATGAAATTTGGTACAGATGTAGAGGATAATCTGAAACACATAGGCTACACACTTTTGTTTTTTTTTTATTCCACGCGGATGGTGTCACGGGCCATAGGTAGTTTATAATCATTATTGGGCGACCTTAGTACTGTGTATACTCAAACTACATTCATACTTAAATTATGTATTTTAAGGGCGCCCCACTACTGGCTGATAGAGTCTCAGATAGCTTTAAAATGAAGTCACTGTCAGATAACTAAATCCGATATTTCCATTACATATTTTACACGTTGGATTGTGTTCAGATAATTTACAATTTGATGGGACAGGCCCAAAGTATTATAAACTTGTATACCTTTTATATACAATTCAGTGGACCTGTTGACTTTAGCGACATGATTGGAAGCCACACAAGTGTACGTGCCGCAATGTTCCAACGAGACTTTCTTTATCACCAGCGCACTAAATAACTCTGAACTTCGTTCAACTACCTGTAAAAAGAATATTACATTAAGAGCGGGCGAACACCTTTGACTAAACTATCGCACAACTGTTGTCCGATTGTCGATTGTTTTGCAGCCTTCAACTGTTTATTGTACAACTAAAAATCTAGTAGTGTACGTACCTCCGTATAAGCTCATAGGAATCAAAGCAAGACTAAACAGTTTTGCGATAATTTAATCAAAGGTGTTTGAGTAATCTAAATACCGATTAGAATGTACTAAAGCTTTAACTATAATAATCTTTACTAGATTTACATTATTTATACTAATGTTATTAAAAGAAAATATTTGTATTTTGTATTTTTTATGTATCAATATAACTAAAAAACTACTAAGCGTATTTTGAAAATTCTTTCACCATTAAAAAGCCACTTAATCAGTGAATGACATAGGCTATATTTTTTTTATTATTTTTAATTCCACGCGAGAAGTAGACAGCATCAGCTATTCTCATATAAAAAGGTTTACTATCTATAAAATCATGAAATAGAAGTTAAGTTCGCATC